AGAACTTCACTATTTCATTTTCATGAAACTCAGGCCCCAGGTTTTCATCCTGTGCAAGCACTTCACTATTTCATGTTCATGAATCTCAGTCTCATGTTTTCAGCCTGTGCAAGAATGTCACCATTTAATTTTCATGATTCTCAGTCTCATGTTTTCAGCCCGTGCATGCATTTCACCGCTTAATTGTCAGTCGGGCATATGCCAAAGCTGCTTGAACAAGCCTGTGGCAGCCTCTGCTGCAAGATTGTTAATGGGGTGTTGGTTGAAGGTCTCCTGAATTTTATTTCAGGTGAGGGAGGGTCTCTTATTTTTTTTGTCTCGTAAATTTGATGCCAGTGTTGTCATTGCTTGTTGTTGCTGGGAACTTCAACCACGCCGTTGATGGTTGAAGTTGGTGGTTGATGCGGTGCCTTAAAAAATTCTAGATTTACAAAGATGACAGTGAATGTGAGGGTCTGCTGGTTTCGCCTTTCGCTCCCCTCATCATCCACTGCCATCTTTTTATGAACCCTTCACTACACAAATGCACACAAATGCGAGAACGGAAAGAAAGTGGAGAACGGACAATAAGAATTGTTTAACCATAGAACCCACGAACACGAAATGCTTTGTTTGAAATCCGCCACCATCAACTGAGAGATGTGCTTTTGAAACTTCCGCACCATAGAGCGTGTCGCTCCCTGATAAAATCCGAATCAAAACATGATCCTGGGTATATGTAGGTTTGTGCATTCCGAAAGCAGAACTCAAACACGCCACTCAACTCAACTCAACGGTAATTCTAAAGAACTTTTCTGTGACGGCTGCGCACCAAAACTCAGCCCAAGCAACGCTTGGTCATGGCCACCGCATCAGCAACAGGCATGGCTCGGTTGTGTTTCAGATAGTAGTCCATCGAATACCTCCTCACCAAAGCCAAGGAATCGTGCGAACCCGTCATGAGCTTGGCCCAAGTTGGATGGGACGTTGCCTTCATCGAGCCGCCGCACCAGAAACCTGAAGCAATGAACGCTGGAGCCACAGCTACAAAAAGCACATCAGAATGAAGAATTCACCATCATCATCTGTGCATTTCCACAAACAATGGATGGATAGAGTGACACATCGAGTCACGAACGACCATGAAAAAACTGTACACTGTACACCCATGACCCCTGTATTCATCATGCATGACAGAGTTCCAATCCGGAAACCGAACTCGACCCATGCGTTTCTCATGTGAACCGAGCATGTTTCCACTGAGTTCAAGCTCATCTCATGCTGAACATGTCACAATGAAGCCGCAAGCTCGCTCAACACAGACACCCACCTTCCTAAGGCCCTGCCTGGCTGGGACATGAGACCATACGTGTATGGCCCAGTGAAGCCGTGAGTGCTCACGTCATTCCTCATCTCGGCATAGTTGGCAGCACTGCAAGACGAGCAGTTCAGCAGCTTGCTGACGATGAAATCCTAAAGCATTGGGCTCTGTTCAAACTGAAAAGAAAATCACAAACAAATGCATGTTCGATAACTTACGTGAAACAAGTTCCAAACCAATACCAGCACATTTAGAATTCCAGGCGCGTAAGAAATCACACGGCCTTGGCCGAGGGACATTGGATCCCTCCAGTTTGGCGCGCAGCCAGCCTAGGATGGATTGTCCGCACGGATCCGCACGGTAAGACCGGCAAAACCAAAAAAAACTCGCGACACAGGAGCATCGAACACAGGAGCTTTGAAACACATTTGAAATAAAGACACATTGTATACTGGTCTCGAACAGTTTTGATCGCCTTTGCCCTTGCATCATCTGTGTCCGTGATCTGGCTTAAAACCATTGTCTCGAACATGGAGCTGAAGAGGAAGGGCTCCACTGCACGAGCTTGTTGGCGCTTCGACACGGTGGACGACAGACCTTGGGCCGCATTGTGCTGTCGTGCTCTGCACGGTAAACCCGACATATGCTACACGCTGCAAAAAAAAGGTTACTTCGAGTGATCCCCACCATGGCACTTTTTCTAACTATATTCTGAAAAGTCTTCTGTCGTTCTATCAGGAATATATCTGGACATTGTATCTGGCATATCTTCTGGCATTCTATCTGACATATCTTGTGGCATTCTGTTGGCCATTTTTTTCTGGCGTTCTGTCTGGCATATCTTTGACATTCTATCTGGCATTCTATCTGACATATCTTCTAAAAAAAGGCATTCTATCTGGCAGATTTTCTGGCATTCTATCGGGCATTCTATCTAGCGTATTTACTGACATTCAATGTGGCATTCTGACATTTTACCTGGCATGTCTTCTGGCATTCTATCAGACATATCTTCTGGAATTTTGTCTGGCACATTTTCTGGCATTTCTTTCTGGCAATCTATCTGGCATATCCTCTGACATTCGATGTGGCATATCTTCTGGCATATCTTCTGGCATATCTTCTGGCATCCTACCTGGCAAATCTTCTGGCATTAAATCTTAATCATACTATCTTATCTTCTGGCATATCCGTCTGGCACATTTTCTGGCTCTTCTTTCTGGCATATCTATCTGGCATATCTTCTGACATTCGATGTGGCATATCTTCTGGCATATCTTCTGGCATCCTACCTGGCAAATCTTCTGGCATTCAATCTTTATCATATTATCTGATCTTCTGGCATATCTTCTGGAATTCTATCTGGCAGATTTTCTTGACATATCTTCTGACATCTGGAAGCGGCTGACATACACCCTCACCTGACAGGTGGGGAAAAAGGACATATATATGTGCACCGTTGGGCTTCAAGATGGCGCTACTCGGACCTAACTGACGCAAACCTAAGATAAGCCCAAGATTGCCCGACACTGGGCCCACACGGGCCCAACATAGGCAAATCATAGGGCCAACTATGGCAACAAAGTCCAAGATAGCACACGACCATCTCAAGAGCCCGCTTCAAAAGCGAAGAAAACAGAATATTCTATGTGTATATATATATATATCATACATATATATATATATATGGAATCAGTGGACTACTGCATGGCTATGTGCTGAGACATTGATATTTGCAGCGCTGTCCAGCCGGATTGAACATACATCCAAAAACTGGGAAAAAGGGACTCTTGACCGTCTTTCCTTGTCTGTCAGCGAACTTGAATTTGCCAAGTAGCATTGGACCATACGCAGCACGGCCGTCTTCGCAGGAGGCACTGCAGTGACGCGGATGCATCCCAGCGCGTCCTTCAAATTGGGAAGGGACACTGGCCTGGTCAGAGCACGCCGTGAAGGCGCACGCAACCACTGCAAGGCACGCAGTCGCATTGCTGTAGGCCCCATCTGACGCCAAGCCATCTCCGTCAGGATGGCGGAGTTGAGCCAGTTTCACTGTTGACAAGGTCATTGATAGCATGGATCACCGAGTCCTTGTAAGGACAGACGTGGAGCCACGTAGGCACATGTGCACTCAGCTGAGACACATGGATCACGCCACTCCTTGGGAGAGCTCTGTTTTGCCATCCATCTCCGACCCTGAAGCCGGTGTAGCAGATTCCTTCCCCGCACGCCATGGGGAGCCCCTGTGTGACGCTGTGTTTCTGTCCACAAATACATGAATTCACAGTTGTGTTTTCTAGTTTTCACGGAGCTGTTCGTTTATGTTCGGGTTAGAATCTCTTCTGTGAAAGAATGTTAACTTAAGGTCCTCAGCACAGCCCAGCCATCCAGCACAGGTCAGGGGCTGCTCACCACCCGCCGCTTTGTACATCTCATCGACCACATCCAGCACCGTTTCGAAGAACATCATGGCAGCCAACAAGTTCTGATCTTTCCACAGCTCTTGCGATCAAATCAGCTCTTGCATTCAATGTCAAATGAGAAGCTCAAACATGTGATCTGACAACTCCCTGGTGATCGGGTCCGAGGTGACCATGTGGAACTATCGGTTCTGGTTCTACTTCTACACATCTTGGTCGATAAATCAGAGCAATATCTTGTGACCATCAAACAACGATCGCTTGTATCACTCATGCCTGTCGCAAATCAATCCGAAACACTTTAAGTGCGACGTGCCCTCCACACACACACACACTTTGCAATTTATAGGTATAGATATAAACTGATATAGATAGATATCTAAATATAGATCATGTCTCTGTCATGCATTCGCATACAGATAATACGAAAACAGTTCGATTCCAGTCTGCTTCGTGTACCTTCATGTAACCAAAAGAATATCATCGATCCATCTCGCCTTTGCATCACACTCCAGCAGGAGCGCGAGGCTCTTCGCAAAGTGTTGGGTGGCCTATAGCCGGTATGATGCGCAGTGAGGGAAATTGAAAAGATGTAACTTACAGTATCAAAACAACCCGCAAAACAGAGACCTGAAAAAAATACTTTCTTCGAGTGATCCCCACCATGAGATCTTATTTGGCATATAGTGTGATGCAGATTTTTACTTTCTTTCTGGCAACATGAATTGGCAGGGAAGAGGAGGAGAGGACAACTCTGATATTTCAGCAGAGTTGTCTTCTCCTCCTCTTCCTCTTGGCAGTCTATCTGACATTCTCTCTGACATATGCTCTGACATTCTATCTGACATATGTTCTTACATTCTATCTGACATTCTTTCTGGCTTTCTTTCTGGCATTCTATCTGACATTCTATCTGGCATTCTTTCTGGCATTCTATCTGGCATTCTTTCTGGCATTCTATCTGACTTTCTCTCTGGCATTCTATCTGGCATTCTTTCTGGCAGTCTATCTGACATTCTTTCTGGCATTCTACCTGACCCTATCTGACATTCTTTCTGTCATTCTATCTAGCATTCTTTCTCATATTCTATCTGGCATTCTATCTGACATTCTATCTGGCATTCTATCTGGCATTCTATCTGACATTCTATCTGGCATTGAGGTCCGGCAGTGCCCACTGGGATCTGGGGCTCGCGGTTCAGGTCCGGCAGTGGCCACTGCGATCTGGGGCTCGCGGTTCAGGTCCGGCAGTGCCCACTGGGATCTGGGGCTCGCGGTTCAGGTCCGGCAGTGCCCACTAAAATCTGGCACTCGCAGTTGAGGTCCGGCAGTGCCCACTGCGATCTGGAGCTGGCGAGGAGGAGGCGGAAGGAAGAGGAGAAGGAGAAGAAGGACAAGAAGAAGAAGAAGAAGAAGGCGGTAGCTCTTATAAAATCTAACAACCCTCACCTGGCAGGTGGGGAATATTATTCCATGTAGGGCATCCCCCTTCGCCCTTCGATTTGTTTTTGGGGACGCAAGAATGTGACCTTACATTTTTGAGGTACCTGCTTTGGGGAGGTCCAAAAATACAAAAAATTAAGTTGCATTCTGGGTATAGGTGCTCGAAACATGGAGTCCCCCTGTCAGAAACAAGATTTAAAAGAATGTCTGTGATATTCTGCCTGGTATGTGGAGAAGTTTCCCTGAAAAACCTATGCTAAGGGGTGGGAATCGTATATCTAAATCAAAGCAAAAACTTGCGATCATCAAAGATCAATCACTTGAATCGCTCAACTGCCATGTGTCTTTCATATGTACTTTGCAAATGTTTTGGTTGAAATATAGATACAGATGTAGATATAGACCAAGACCCTGTCACGCATGTGCGCAGAAAAAATACGAAAACTTCTTCGGTTGCCGGTTGCAACCAATGAACATCCATAATCTGATTTGTGTACCTTCGTGTTCCCATTCCATGAGAATATCATCGATCCATCTCACCTTTGCATGACACTCCACCAGCAGCGTGAGGCTCTTCGCAAAGTGTTGAGTGGCCTGGCCGATATCATGTTCCGTTCATAGGAGGCTGGCTTGTATTACATCTCATGAGCAGAAAAAAGATACAGATACATATCATTAGAGTAGAAAAAGCGAAAGATACATACCATGACTATTACAATACCGATTGAACAAAATCGAAATACATACAGCACTTCCAGAACAGTATGGTGTTCCAACACTGGAAGGATCCACGTGAAAGTCTGTCCTCGGCAGGTAACTATATATGATATAAATGGAGAGCCAAATCAAACTGTGGAGATCGCGTCACAGAAACTGCCAGGCAGGCAGCCCGAAGCATGATACAAATTGTGTCCATTGCATGGTTGGCCTTCTGGGTTGGGTATTACGTCCCAACTGGGGGCTAAAAACCCGATTGCCTGTCTTGAATGCTACAGCAACGGGGATACAACATGCCTACAAAGGAAAAAAAGTCAACACTTCCAAATTGAGAAGGTAACCTCAACCTTGAAAAACACGCAAAAAACCATTCTTAAAAAAATCTGAAAGTTACAGAAACTTAGAATTCTCTACGCAACTTATCTTAACTTACAAAAAGTTATACTTAACTCCTCTAAGTTCTCTACATCAAGCTACATATTTATAACTTCACCTAAACATACAGCTGAAGTTAAAACTTACTTACCATAGATGCAAATAGTTACCATATTTATAACCAAGTTATAAGTATGGTGTAAGGGTGTAAGCAAATTATAAGCAACTTATAAGTCATGCAAGTATGTAAAGTTCCACAAGTTCAAAACCTGAGTCTCCGTGCTGGTCACTGCGCTCAGGCTTCTCGTTCAATGATCCGCGCCATGGGCGAAATGTCGCTCAGGGATTCAATCACAATATTTGGCGGGTGAGTTTACTGAGACAAGAGATCCCGTGGAATGTGATCCGGCATGATCCACAGTTCTCTGCACCGTCACTATTCCGTTGTCAAGCATTATCCCAAAGAAATCAAAGAAGTGATAAATGAACTGAGAAGTGTGCTTTGTTTTTTCATGAACACACCAAAAATGCACAAATGTTGAAACCCGGTTGATGATGATGATGATGAGGATGATGAGGATGATGATGATGATGATGAGGAGGAGGAGGATGATGATGTTGATGATGAGGATGATGAGGATGAGGATGAGGATGATGATGATGATGATGATGAGAAGGAGGAGGAGGAGGAGGATGATGATGATGATGACGATGACGATGACGATGACGATGACGATATCTACAGATTGGAGGGCGATGATGATTTGAGAAATCTCTGCATGAATATAGATATATGTGTATATATATATATAGCTCAAGAGTTGGCTGCTGAAAATAGTTGCCTGAATTTGGTGTTGATGGTTTGATATCTGAAGAACTACCACAAGGTTTGAACCAACAACAATTTCCTGATAAGAAGTGGGATATCTTCGGGACCAAAACTGTCAATTCGATGGCGACACACTGAGGCGTTCGTCTGGTTACCCTCTCTTAATTTGACATGGCAATGGAAAATCTCAACTTACAATGGAAAGGATGGGAGAATCGTCTACAAATGGTGGTGCGATTAACCTTGGATTATACAATGATTAATGATTAATGGATGTAGATGACAGAACACACACCTTGTGGACTTACAGCCAGTTGTCAAGAGGCAAGGTAGTTGTGCTTGCAGGATGTTGCCCGCTAAACACAACTGCAAACTCCAATGTTAACCCAAGTCTTTGGTGCAGCTTCCATCAGTGACGAACAGAACTTGAACAAAACTACCATCCCCTATTCGACAACCCATACACCCCATACTTTTTGGTGCATTGACAAGGCGACTCAGATTGACGTTTGTAAGTCGGGATGCTGGGATGAAACAAATCAGGAATATTCCTCTGTGTGAAGTTCGGTGGCAAAAAGAAACTGTATTCCTTTGCAGTTTTTGAAAACTGGGCTCTGTGCGGCACTCTGTGAGGTCTGATTTTTCTGCACAGAATGACAGTATAACGTTCTTTATAACCCCATTATATATATATAGATATCCTCGATTTATAGATAATTTCCCCCATTCCAATAGACCCAGCTGGTTGCAGCCCAGCAGCTCGTAGCTGACAAGGACCACCCTCTTCCGAGCCATGCTGCTAACATAGGCCGCACCGGAATCCGCCCAGACTTCGTAGGCGGAGATCTTTCCCTCACAGTCAAAACGCAGGCGGTAGACAAAGACTTCCTGGCCAGGAAGGTTTGGAGGTCCAAACCACGCAGAAATGTGGACTTAGCATGATTTGACTTGATTTAACCATATTCAACCAACAAGAATGAGGATCTCACAAAGGGAAAGTTGGGTTTTGATATGTTTCAATCAACTCCGTCAGCCTGTGTTTTGCGGACAAAGCATGATTCTATTCAGGGGGTGAATTGTGCTGGTCCAAAACAGCCAGAGGTGAGAGATCCTGGAGGCTCCAAAGCATGGTCATGTTCAGCTCCATCCAATTCTGACGATTTTGAGCCCACATTTCTTGAAAAGGTGATGGTAGCCCAAAATTGTCAACTTCGAACTCTCCGGGACTGATGTGTGGATGTGACAAAGCCATTCCCCATGTTGTGGCTTCTGCTCCTATCAGGAGATGGTCATTTTCCCCCATGCCGTCCTGCCAGGACTTTCCGGTTGATCGCCAAATGAATTTGGCCTGTCCGCGCACAGATGCCTGATCTGTATCAACATCCACCATGTAGTCCTCAGCTTCTGAATTTTCGCTCGAGATGACGTACCCCCATGGTGGGCAACTTCCAAAAAATCACCGAACTTGCCAAAACCTGTTGCCGAAGTTTCTGGCCCTATAGTCCATAGATTTGGAACCAATTCAACCCTGAATGCAATCATCAATTCCTCACCATCTTTTTCACACTCAAAGCGACATGTATACCCTATGGTAATCACACATAGCGCATCATGTGTACTGTAAAAGATTCTATAAAATGGACCATTTTCCTATCTTTAAAGCTGGAGAATCACATCATGCCACACCTCCGCATATACATTGGCCTGCCCACTTGGCCGAAGCTTCTGAGAAATTCATGTCCTCAAAGTCCAAGAGTTCGCCGATGAGCTCGAAATAATCCCGCGCTCCTGGCTGCAAGTCCCCCACTAAACCATGGTCTTATTGCGGGATGTTTAATATTTGGGCCTATAGGGGGATGGGATTATCAATCCACCCATCCCTTGTCATGAGGTCCTCAAACATGGCTAGTTGGCAGATCCCCCAACGAAATGAGCATCTAAACGCGAACATCATTTCTAAGATATACATGGCTGATGTTCCGTTGGCTATCTCCCTTTTATATCCTGTTATTCCACTAGGTGCTTCCCTGTTTTGCCCCCGTTGTCCTTGCAAGCCTCGAAACTCACGTCCCAGGAAGGGAGCCAAGTCAGGGAGGCCGTGCTCGAAGAGAAGGACATCCTCGGAGAAGTGGCTCAGCACCTGGCGGCTCGCTGTGGAGCCATGGCGCGGTGGATGGTATCCACAGGAAATGCAGGGGGGTCCCATTGGAAACAAACAAAATCTGGTCAAAAATAGAATGTTATATATTTGAATATAAATAAAGAGATAAATACATATATTATATTATATATATAATATATATATTATATATATAATATATGAATATAAACATACATTATATATCATTATATATAATATATAAATATACACCATGAAACCCTAAACATGTAATAGTCCCCTTGGCCCCCATGATTAAAAAAAAAACATAGGATTACACATTGTGTCTGAAAATGTTGATTGTGCGAAAAAAATGTGTCAAAGTGATAGGCAACCGGGTTTAACCCCATAATAATATGTATGTGTCGAATTGATCATCTCCATTGATGCCCATCCATACAGTTCAAACCCCGCAATGGGACAGCCACTTTGCAAGTTACGGATCCGGATATATATATATATATAGAACTCTATATATATATATATTATTAATTATTATTATGTATTATATATATACAGTATCATTAATAAATTAACTCACCTAAAACATCTTCAGTCATTTTTGGAGATAGTAATCCCTTTTACTACCCATCATCCCATGTTCCCACGATCTTCCATGGCCGTCACCTCCTCCAAGCTCTTCCGTTGCGCAAACGCCTCGCAGAGATCTTGCGCCCGCTGCAGCAGCTGTGCGCGGCGCGGCACCGAATCCGAATCCTTCGCGCCCGCCGCACCCATGGCGCTGGCACGGATGGAGCTGGCCGGAAGGAGGCCTTTGTTGGGGAATCCAATGAATTATCCAATAATCAGATCAAGATACTATGTTGGATGATCATATTGGATAATCGGATAACATTAGGTTGTTCTTCAAAGTGACCCTTTTGAGGTTAAGTGACCCTTTTGAGATGGTTAAGTGACCATTTTTGTGGCTAAGTGACCTCCAATTGGTGGTTTGACTAGGTAACTTTGAAGAACCAGGATATTGAAAAATACTTTGTGGCATCTGTTGGGTAGCATTCTATCCGATTCCCCGATCAACCTCAATAGTTATGTTTTCTTTTAGTCTTGGAATACCCCTAATATCTAATATTGGGTGGATGTGTTTATCATGCTAAACGCTGGGCTTATTATGCAAAATGCTGCTGATGTAATGGCGAACCATGATGCTCTCATGGCATTTGAAGTAGATCTTTGAATTGAAAATGCTGCATCCGGACAGGCTAAAGTTTCCTGGCACACGAAACGATGGTCACAGCTCCACAATCCAAGCAGCAACCTCTCAAAAAAGATTGCGTTCAGCCAACTTTCAGTTCAGCAAAATCATGTCGATATGTAGGTATGTGTGTTTACTTGAAAGTTTAAGTACCCCCAATTCTTCTGGATTATTGTATGTGTTCACGCTTGAAGAGGTACTTTTGGGGTACGATATATCCCTGGTTTAACAAATTCAGTAGGAGTTCATAGGAGTTCTATCCCCATTGCGTTGCTCAAACTCCCCCAACTGTCACGCTGGCACCTGCAAGATACTCTGCCATGGAAGCCATCCGAAATAGCTGGTGTTCTGTAGATGTTCATCGAAAGAGTCTGTGCATTTCGCATATGCCATATACACACATCATATGCATACAGCATCATGCGCGTATGTGTGGATACGTAAAATGCATACATTGTACAAATGAGGGAGATGTGCATTCACACATACATAGATCAAAATGCCAGCATGCCTCCGGGTGCGTTGTAAAGCCTGCAGACTCCAGAGTAGTGATTATTACTATACGTACATTGTACTAGTGTAATATGTTTGTGTTACAGTGTACATGTACAGATACATGTACTGTATATTCTGCCTGTGTGCGAAACAGTGAGCACTTGATGTGTGTGTGGTCTTCCAAAAGCCACCACTATGGCATTTTGAGCGGCGCGGGTTCACAAAAGTTGGAGATCACCAAGGACCAGAGCCCAATGGCTGTTTAAGGTGTATTTCCAACTAGACACCCTGGGTACCTTGGAGGCACAAGAACTGGCTTCAAGGCATCTCCTCACCTAAAAGCCAATCATTTCGGGCTTCACTTCGACAGATGGTTTTGTCATTTGGTCCCTGGGTCTTAAGGAGTTCCCTGCAAAAATGGATTTGGACTACCCCGGAATCTTTTGAACCCACCCCATTTTCCAAAACCTGACCCTGGCACGGATGCCCCCCAATATACAACACTGCCTGCGGCCATGTCATCACCCATCTCAGCAGCGACTTAAGCTCCTGTGCCTGTGGGGCATTCAAAGTTGATTGACGGGATGAAGTAAGATTGTTCCATATACATTAGAAGCTGAATGAGTTTCCTGCCGGATTCTTCGCATGGTCACAACTACCCGACTTTGGGTGTGTGTGTGTATATTATATATATAGGGTACCAACTTGCTTGTCTCATGCAATCCAGGCTAGCCATGCCTGCAACTCGCCATGAGCAAGAGCCACCAGGGTCCAGCCAAACCTGGCTAGAGCAGCAGTGGCCAGCTTCATTGGCACCAAGATGTTGATTAAAGTTATTAAATCGTGTAATTCATCTTGAATCCCCCCATTCTGGGTGAAATACAACTGGTTGGCTCCTGAAATCCCCACCTTTTCCATCCTTTTCCCCAGCCTGCTCCTTGCAGCCCCCATGAGCTGCGCCCCATTGGCTCGCAATGGCGGCTAAGAATCGGAAGACATCACCAGCAGAGACATTTGTGGGATTATTTTGTATAACAACGGGAGTTAAAACACCCATAAGTTGGGATATAACCGACCCCTATAGCTATGGCTATATATATATACAGTATATCATTGTATATCCACTTATAACTGGAACTGCACCTCCAAGTACTGCTGTTGAACCCAAACATGTGACATCATTATCTATTCATGCTGGTTTGCCCACATTGGGGTATATAGTATATTTGGTCTTGACTGACCACCACCAGCATCTTTTTCATTAGCAGCATAGCCACACCCAAAGACTTAGTCGACTGCAAGACCCAGCATCCATTGCCTGTCGGTTCTATGTTGAGACACGACATCTGTACCCCCATCATCCATATGGCATCTTGCCGATTGAACACACACGCGAATGTATACAGGGTAGAAGTATGGGCCGAGTGAAACCAACTCAGCTTGCCAGGCAAATGTTCTGAAGTCTGTCACGCTAAATTCCTTCAATTCATCTTTTCTGAGTGCTGCAAGAAAAGCAGCAATTCAATGTGTTTTTACTCTCAAGAAGCTTCGATGCTTTATGCGCTGTTTTTAATAGCCACATTGGCTGTTTGTTCAAATCCCCAAGAAGTTTGCAGATTAGAAAGTTGGGCTCTGATCCCAAACACCTGGACCTTCATGCCTTCATCATGGCAAAGATTGGCAAAGTATGAAGCCAAAGGCTGGCGCGTCAACAGCATGTCGCTAATGCAAATACTCTCAGCCTACCTGTTGTCCAAATGACAATTCAAACAAATCTCTCAAGGATGCTAGTTCGGAGGAAAGTTATGAATTGCTGACCCCGGTAGTTCCCATCATGGCGTGGAAAAAAGGAATCTCAATTAAGACAATTACTCTAGATGGCCAAATTCTGAACAAGATTGGTTAATCTACGTCAATCGTGAGTTTCTTACCCAAAAGAAACGTTGAAATCGTTGAAAAGAAAAACCGTCTTTCAAACAAGTAATATCCGTAATCCATAAATGGTGTCCATGACAAGGCCATGCCGAGAACTGCTATTTGAAGGAAAAGTGTTTTTTTTTACCATGGGCTTTGGGGATTCTCACATTAAAAATCCGCAAATCCCAATCTTTCTTGGTTATATAAATGCCTCTTGATTGTTTAATCCCCTCTGCTTGGGGCAAAAAAAATACTTCTATAGGATATCTTAGATGCTGCTGTTCGATAGAGCTTGAGCTCGCAGGCGATTGCAGCGCATTGGGTGTCCTTGTGGCTTGCGGGTCATGAAGACATGGGGAAAAAAAAATGGTACCTTAAATTTGGAACTGGAAAACTGAGTGGTTGATTGATCCCCTGCAAATTAAGTTTAACTTTCAATGAGAGATGTGCCAAACTCACTTAATTCCCGAAAAAAAACCTTAAAAATGCAAGTGCGTGGCTGCTAATTATGCTGAAATATCGGAAATCAAATGTTGAATGGTCCACATCGCGAATGATTGACGCCTCACGATTCAGTCAGCTCCACTATCCTCATGTTTCATCATTTTTTCAGGTACATGGAGGGTATGTCCGGGGCATTCAGGAGCGGAATCCCGTGGAACTCCACTTGGTCCCCAGGCTTCCAGCGCGGGTGACTACAGGAAACCATCAATGGTTGGGCCCAGTCACCATATTTTGAGATACCCAACCAAAGTATAAACTATAAACTATGATATTGCTGATATCCACTATCACTAGTTTCCCTGAAAATACATGAAAATACACCACAAAAAAAAACTGACATAGAATCCAAGACTGGTATGTCGAACGATAGTAAAGTCCGTGCAAGATCACCGTCCACGTCCAACAATATTTTCCAGTGGTTCCATGTCAGATTTCAGTGCTTCGACTATCTATTTCATCGTCCAATCATTCCGGTATGGCTCAAATAATCATCAAGTATGATATGATCAACCTCCCAAAATTGATTGGATAATCCCAAATATGATTTATATAGTCATCAATTATGGCTGATAATTCACTTATAATCATCAACCTCCCAAAAAAAATGGATGGCTTCGGATGGCTTCAGAAATCCCAAGGAAAATCACCAGTGGCCCATCGGGCCAAGTGTCGACCGACTCGTGGTCCAGCAACGTGCCACACATCGGAGACAGCGGCGCCTATGTTCGGACCATGACAAACCTATAGCCTATGTGGGGGGTTCCATCAATAGGGTTGGTTTATACTGGAAAATCCTATTAAAATGGATGATTTAGTGGTACCAAAATGTTAGGAAACCCCCATATTGTTTTCTTTATTTACTAAAGGATACTAGATGGTTTTGATCCATGGGTTGATTTGAGGGAAACCTTAAGGAGACCGTGTTTTCCATATTGGTCAAGGAGGACTTGATCATCGCACAGTAGTTGTGATGATCTTGCCATGGGGATCTTGCTGGGCCCTGTGGCTCCGTCCCCTTCCTCGAAATTCATGGGGAACCAAGAAAAGAGGACTTTTCCTTGCTCTGAGGAATCTTGGAAAACACATCCCCATCATTCAGATTCGTCTCCCTCAGTGCGGCAGACCAGATTTCCGGGCAACCCGGACACGGCTCTTGTAGCAATGCGGTACCTTGCGACTTCTGGTGGCAACCCGCAGCGGTCGCACATCTTTGAGAGATCTGGAAGCTCACTCCGCTTGTCAACTCAGTTCTCATCCAAAAGTTCACACCCCATGGTAAACACACCTTGAATTCAAGAATCTCCAAATCGACCAATCGTAGATATTTTGTTGAAACTGGTGATCTCTCATTGCCATTTCACTTTACCACAGAGCACTGCACCCTTCATGGGTACCCAGCTTCAAAATAGCCAGGAAACGCTCCAACCAGGATGGGTTCCCTACATATATCATGGTGAATTTGCATGTCAAGTCATGGAAACACCCGAGAAAGCTCTTTGGGGTCAGTTCCTGACACTACATGTTACTTCATCGGATAAATCATTGTGAAACTATAGATGAGCTGCTCTCATTGTCGCAGTGCAACTCTTTCTTCCTGTCTTCTGTTCTGGCCTCCCCAAACCTCATTAT